TCAGCGCTGAGGGAGCGCCGCACTGTCGGCGGGTCAGCGCTGAGGGACCAGTTTTCTTTCACTTTTACTGTGTTCAGCACCTGACTTCTTTGTGTCTTCTTACTGTCTCTCCCATTCTGCTAGTCTTACTCTCTGTTGCTCCTTTCTCCTTCTGCCACCTGTGTCTTTCTCCTCTTCTGTCTTTCCCTGTCACGTTTTCTGCCTGTCTCTCTCCTGTCTCTCATTTTGCCTGTCCTATGTCTCCATCAATGTATCTGTTTGTGTGCCATGTTGTTTGGCAGCAGTTTGATTAACTTTTAGCCCTCCTTCCCTCACTCGGATCCACTCTGCAGTCTGTACTGGCTGTTTTTAAGTCTCCATCCACTCTCGAGAAGACTGTGGAGAAATGCAAAATTGCACTAGGCCGAGGAATGGATCAGCTCATCATCCAACTTCTCTGCAAACACGGTGAGGAGGGATTTTTACTGATTTCTTGCTTAGATGACCACTGCTTGCTCAGCCATTATTCCTTATCCCTGTTTGCTCAGTACAAGCTCAGTCCCATTGCTGTTGATCTGGGTCACGTGCAAGACAGACACTGTCAGCGTGGCGTGTTTCCTTCCTAATTAGACTTAACACCAGTGGATATTTATATTTAACATAATCGACTGTGGTTTTGTGGTCTTCATTTATTGCCCATCCTGAGAGAAGGTAGGGGTGAGCTGCCTTCTTGAACTGCTGCAGACCATGTGCTGTGGGGTGACCCACAATGTCCCTTAGGGAGGGAATTCCAGGGATTCTGACCCACCGACACTGAAGGAACGGGGATATATTTCCCAAGTCAGGATGGGGAGTGGCTCGGAGGGGAACTTGCAGGGGGTGGTGTTCCCATGTATCTGCTGCCCTTTGTCCTTCTGGATGGAAGTGGGTCGTGGGTTTGGAAGGTGCTGCCTGAGGATCTTTGGTGAATTTCTGCAGAGCATCTTGTAGATGGTACACACTGCTGTGACTGAGCGTCGGTGGGGGAGGGAGTGGGATGTTTGTGGATGTGGTGCCAATCGAGCGGGGGCTGCTTTGTCCTGGATGGTGTCAAGCTTCTTGAGTGATGTTGGAGCTGCCCCCATCCAGGGGCAAGTGGGGGGTATTCCATCACCCTCCTGCCTTGTGCCTTGTAGATGGTGGGACAGGCTTTGTGGGGGGAGACAGGATGGGAGTTACTCGCTGCAGGATTCCCAGCCTCTGACCTGCTCTTGTAAACACGATGACAAGCTCAGTTCAATTCCGGTCACTTGAGTGTAACCCCTCGATTGACCCTGCATCTCCCAGTCTCTCAGGCAGTACATTCCAGACCCTAACCCCTCCATTGACCCAACCTCCCCCACATTCTTGGGTAGCACGTTCCAGACCCTAACCCCTCGATTCACCCTGCCTCCCCCCACAATCTCAGGCAGTGTTTTCCCGATCCTGACTTGGAAATGTATCCCGTTCCTTCAGTGTCACTGGGTCAGAATCCCTGGAATTCCCTCCCTAAGGGAGATTGTGGGTCAACCCACAGCACATGGACTGCAGCGGTTCAAGAAGGCAGCACACCTCCCACCTTCTCAAGGGAGGCAATTAGGGATGGGGCAATAAATGCTGGGCCCAGCCAGCAACACATGCGTCCTGTGGGGATATAAAAAGTAGAATCTTACTGACATACCCATTGAATCTTGAAGGGACATGATGTGGTCAATGCCTGAAGCCAGGAGTGTGGTGGGGACGTAGTTGGGGAGTGTCACAATCTTAGGATAAAGGAAGCTGCCATCTCAGACTGAGTTGAGGAGAGATGTCATTACTCGCACAGTGGTCGAAGTTTGGAATGAGTTTCTGGACGCTGACGGACCCCAGGGAGCGGGGTGTTGAAAGCTTGAGATAGAAGATTGGCTTTGGGCTCATTGTGGGGAATGGACTCAAGGGGTCAAAAGGCGTGCTGCTTCAGTGACTGTGCGTGTGTCTGCAGGTGTTCCCCCTTCTCTGGTTTAATGGGGTCCTGTATTCCTCCTTCATCCAGGCATCACAAAAACACACAACCTCGCCTTCCAGGAGTGCGAGACGCTGCAGGCTGTATACAACAAGGAGCATTGCCCAAACACATTGCGAGCGCAGCCCAAGTGAGTGTCCAGGCCATGTTGGCAATCTGTGGGTTGGTGGGCGATGGTGGGGGCAGGTAATGGGGGCACTTGATGCAGTGCTGCCCCTGGCATGGGAGTACTCACTGGCACTGCTCTCTGCCCACCCAGGTTATTCACTGACACAGTCGTTCATTTCCCTACCAACCTCGAGGAGGTGACTCTCGAGATCAAAGGTCGGCGGGTCTATTTCCGAAACTACATCGAGCCGGATACAGGTAAGGATCACGAACTGTACAGGGTCAGTGTTTATTCAGCAGGGTGAGGGACACTCGCTGTGTAACCATGTAGAGTCAATGTTGATCCTGACAGAGAGTAATGGGGGAAGTGTGCTGTGTTTTCAATGGGTCTCTCTGAACTGTTCACACTGTCCTTTCTTGCTGTTCCCAGATCCCAGGAAGACAATGCACACGGAGATGGTTCTAACCCCGCTCGAATTTGATGAGTTCTCCATGAAGGACGAGACAGAGATAACTTTCTGCTTGAAGGAGCTGAGGGTGAGGGTGGGTTTGTGGGGTGTGGGAGGGTCCGGGGGATTCGAAGAGGCTCTGGAGGAGGGTGTGTACACAGGAGTGATGGTTCTGGAGTGAGGCTGCCTCCAGGGCTGCCCTGCTCCAGAACCTGGACAGGGTCTGGATCTGCAGTTTCCTGGGAACATGCGGTGGGGTTGTTTAGAATCTGAGCTGGATGTTTACCAGTTTAATCTCTTTCTTATCTCTCTCATCTCTCTCCAAAGGGGCTATTGGGATTTGCAGAGGCCTCAGGACTTCCTGTCACTGTCCACTTCCAGGGCCCCGGCAGGTGAGCATTGGGTTAGACTGGGTTAGATCGTCTCCCTGCCTCCACTGTCCCCCACCTCTCTCCTGGTTCTCATCAACCCTGATTCAATGGAGAGTGCAGGAGGGCATGCCAGGAGCAGCACCAGGCATACCTGAAGATGAGGTATCAACCTGATGAAGCCCCCAAACAGGACTACTTGCATGCCAAACAGCGAAAGCAGCAAGTGATCGACAGAGCTAAGCGATCTCACAACCAACGGATCAGATCTAAGCTCTGCAGTCCTGCCACATCCAGTTGTGAATGGTGGTGGACAATTAACCAAATCACTGGAGGAGGAGGCTCCACAAATATCCCCATCCTCAATGATGGAAGAGCCCAGTATGTCAGTGCAAAAGATGAGGCGAAAGCTTTCACAGCAATCTTCAGCCAGAAGTGCCGAGTGGATGATCCATCTTGGCTTCCTCCAGTGGTCCCCAGCATTACAGATACTAGTCTTCAGCCAATTCGATTCACTCCACGTGATCTCAAGAAACATTTGGAAACACTGGATACTGTAAAGGCTACGGGCCCTGACAACATTCCAGCAATAGTACTGAAGACTTGTGCTGCGCGGACGTGCCTGGTAGAGGGTGGGGAGGAGTGTGCCAGCGGAGAAGGGGTGTGTGGGGCTTTGGAATTGCGGTTTGTAGGGTTAGAATTCCTGTGGGATTTGAAATCTGCATCCTCTTCGACAGCCCTGCCATCTTCAGCCTGCACGAGGCTGTCCTCGAGGTGAACTTTGTCCTGGCCACACTAGCGGACGTGGAATCGCAGAGCACGTGCCGTGCAGGAGGAGACAGCGGGTATGTCTGACTGGGTAAGGAGGTGGGGGTGACCCATATGAGAAGCAGGAAGAGCTGCAGGTATTCAGCAGATCTGGGTGTCCACAGCATTGAGGTTTCAAGTCTATGACATAAGACTGTATCAATTTTGTTTAGTTCACCCAGACTGAAGCTCAGGACAAGGAGCAGTGCAGATCTGTAAAAGACCATAGGACAAGGAGTAGGCCATTCAACTTTTCAAACCTAATCCATCTTTCAAGCAGACCAGACTGGGGCGTTAACGCCCCCCCCCGCCACCACCTTATAAGAAATAGCAGGAATAGACCTTCCGGCCCATCAAGCCTGCTCCGCCATTCAATAAGATCGTGGCTGATCTGTTCATGGACTCGGCTCTACTTATCCGCCCACTCACCATAACCCTTAATTCCCTTACTGTTCCAGTATCTGTCTTTGCCTTAAAAACATTGAACAAGGAAGCCTCAACTGCTTCACAGGGCAGGGAATTCCATATATTCACATCTCTTTGGGTAAAGAGATTCCTCCTCAACTCAGTCCTAAATCTGCTCCCCCTTATTTAGAGGCTATGCGCCCTCGTTCCAGTTTCACCCACCAGTGGAAACAACCTTTCTGCTCCTATTTTATCTATTCACTTCATAATTTTAGATGTTTCTATAAGATCCCCCTCATTCTTCTACATTCCAGTGAGTATAGTCCCAGTCTACTCAATCTTTCCTCATAACCTAACTGTCTCAAATCCAGAATCAATTCCCTCAATTCTTGATTAAAATCTCTGTCTAACTCAGCCTCGAATACATTCACTGACCCTGCGCTCCCCTCCCCGCCCCCCACCCCCCCAACACTGCTGTTTGAGGGGGAGAGAATTACAAATACTTCCCACCCTCTTTGAGGATAAATTCCACCTTTTCTCAGTCTTAAACAGGAGACCCTTTAGTTTTAAGCTCTGCTTCCCCGTTGTAGACTCCCCCACAAGGGGTAACCCCTCTCAGTAGCCACCCTGTCCGTCCCTGTCCTCAGAATCTTATATTTTCAATAAGGTCACCTCTCATTTCTCCGAAACTCCAATGAGGCCAGGCCCAACCTGCTCAAACCTCTCCTCATTAGATAGAACCTCCTTCATCACAGGAATAAGCTGAGTGAACCTTCCTCTGACCTGCTTCCCGTGATGGTGTGTGCCTCGTTCAGTAAGGGGGCCGTAACCACGCAGCTACTCCATGTGAAACCTCTCCAATATCCTGTACTGTTGTAGCGAGGCATCCCGACTTTTATCCTCCATCCCCTGTTTCACAAATGGTCTCCAGATAATCAGCTTTCCCAGTCATTTGCTGCATCCGTGCACTAACTGACTGTGACTCATCGACCAGGACACCGAGACCACTCTGCCCCTCAGCATCCTGCAGCCTCTCTCCATTTCAATTGCAGACAGCTTTTCTACACTTGCTGTCAAAACGGACAAGTTTGCATTTTCCCAAATTGTACTTCACATCCAGAGTTTCCCCTGCGCTCTGACTGAAGAAATGTCCGCTTGTATGAGGCCAAGAAAGCTGCTCCCATATCCTGAACCTGGGCTGTAGACTCTGCAGCCAGAGGTGGGACTGAGAGCAGCCCCTCGACATGAGCCCTTCCAAGCGTTGAAAGCATCATTTGCCGAAGGCGATATGTTGAACGACCCCAATAATCCATCTCCTCACCCAGGGGAACATTGCTCCTCACTCTGCAGTAAAATAGTGGAGGGGAAAGAGGAGCTGATGAAATCAGAAACAGAAGACAGCGCAAGGAAGAAAGGTGTGTGCAGGGGCTATGTGGGACAGGAACAGAACTCTGACGACGGACTGAGTTACAATCAGACGCTAGGAATCCTGCAGCGAGTAACTCCCGTCCTGTCTCCCCCCAAAGCCTGTCCCACTATCGACAAGGCACAAGGCAGGAGGGTGATGGAATACTCCTCACTTGCCCCTGGATGGGGGCAGCTCCAACATCACTCAAGAAGCTTGACACCATCCAGGACAAAGCAGCCCCCACTTGATTGGCACCACATCCACAAACATCCCACTCCCTCCCCCACTGACGCTCAGTCACAGCAGTGTGTACCATCTAGAAGATGCTCTGCAGAAATTCACCAAAGATCCTCAGGCAGCACCTTCCAAACCCACGACCCACTTCCATCCAGAAGGACAAGGGCAGCAGGTACAAGGGAACAGTGTACAGATATCTCCCTGAGAGAGAGAGAAGGGACTGAGAGACACCAGTCAGTGTACAGATATCTCCCTGAGAGACAGAGGAGGGGACAGAGGTAGAGACAGTCAGTGTACAGAAACACAGTTAGTTGCACCGCCCTGTGGGATTCCTGCAGCACACTGCTGCTCTCATGCTGAAATGTTTCTTTCAAGATCTCGAGGAGGACCCCACCATGTTCCTGACGATTTCATGAATGAGGAGATGGATTCCTACATGATTGCCATGGAGACCAGTGCCATGGAACAAATGCTGTCGGGGACCGAGGTTCCTCCAAACGATGACGCCGCGCCTCGAAGCCCCACGTTCCCTCTGGCACACAGCAACAAGCGAGGCCATGGTCAAATGGGTGAGGCACTGCCAACTCACCACGATGAGGAGGAGGAGGATGCAGAAATACCAGCCACACCCCCACACAAGAAGGTACCCGTCCTGGTAGTCACTACTGAGGGAGCGCCGCACTGTCGGAGGGTCATGCGCTGAGGGAGCGCC